CCTCCTTGATTTTTTTTTTTTTTTTCCACAGGGTGCCTGAGCTGGGCAAAGACAGACAGACAGAGAGAAAGTGAGAAATCAGCCCCCAGGGTTGATGGCCACAGACCATTCCCTTGTCCATACTCCTCTCTAGATTTTGGGCATGCACACACATTAACCAACCTGACTTTCAAGGCCACCGTGTCTGGGACTCAGCCTGTGGTCAGCCATGTAGGAATTCAACACTTTAACCACCACACCTTGCTGACCCATCTCCTTGATTTTTCCCCCTTTTTATTTTTAATTTTCTTTTTATTTCATGTGCCTGCGTGAGTTTTAAGTCACTGGGTCCTGGACTTGAACCACTGTCGACTCCATGGGAGTCCAGCAATTTACCCATTATGCCATTTGCTGGTTCCATCTTCCTTGATTCTTAACATTATGTTCTTTGGTTCTCTTTTTATTCCTCTGTCCCTTACTTTGCTATTTTATTTTTCTCTACCTGTTCCTTATATGTTGGTGTTCTCTTAGGTTATTTCCTTCTTTCTTGGCAAGATACCCAGCTGGGCATTCTATCGAGAGATTTTTGCTATAGGGTGTGTATGCTTGCCGGAGACAGAAACAGAGAAACAGAGAGACATAAAGTGAGAAATCATTACCCAGGGAGGATGGCCACACTGGAATCCCTTCTTCCATCTTGGAATTTTGAGCACACACACACACATGCGCCCCAGGGAATTTCAAGCCACTGGGTCTAGGACTTGAACAGCTGTAGATCACATGGGAGTTCAGCACTCCAACCACATCACCTGCTGGTCTGGCCCTTGAACTTTTAATATTTTTTTTCTTCTTGCTTTCTTTGTTAACTATTTGGTAGCTTTCCACAGTGGGTAACTTTTTCTCAATCATCATGCAGAAAAATGATTATTAGGAGATGGTGGCAGAGTGTCTAGGAAGGTAGCCCAACGCTGATATATTCTATATAGCAATGCATTTTTTTTTTTAAACTGCTATCCCTTCTACCCCATTCTCCTCTTGGGATTTTGGGCATGAGTTTTAAGCCTCCAGGTCCAGGACTTGAACCACAGCCGACTACATTGGAGTCCACTGGCATAACCATTTAACTATCTGCTGGTTCCAGGAACATGCTATTTAAAGCTAATCTGTGTGCTTGGAGTATTTTTTTCTACCTTACCCTAGGTATTTCTACTCACATTTCATGGCTGAGGCCTCTCAGCCTCCTCTACATTGTGCAATTTGCATACAGCTGTAGGTGACCCAAATTTATCCCTTCCTCTCTCATACACTCACTCTACCCCAAACTAGCCAGGAAACGGTACATTTTATTGCACTGTTTGCTTATGTAGACCTTCTTTGGTCATTTGTCTTTGTCTTCTCAATGCCTAGCATACATCTGTTTATGACTAGTTTCGTTAATTTCCTTCCTTGTATAAATTTAAATGTTAAAGATCCTGTCCAGATTTCTGACTTGAGTAGCCTCCTGGGAACTTTTAATCTCACTACTGCGAAAGAGAAAACCATTTGGCTCTTGACTTCGCTACAAGCACCTCCAGTGGTGCTTCACGTGGGTACCCTTTCCCTAACCTCCCATAGCTTTCACCCAGCTCAAGGTCCTAAGAGGAGAGCCCAAGGACAGGAAAAGACAACCATCAGGCTTCACACCAGGAACTCCGCCCCTTCCCTAAACGCAGTTCCGTCAAGTACGCTTTCCAACTGACATTCCTATAGTCCAATCAGGTTTCGAGGATCAGAGGGTTGCACCTCACTCACAGTGTCCAATTAAAAAGGAGATTTTATATTAGCACCAATTTTGACCAATGGATGCAAAGATGAAAGTTTATTAGCCTATAGAAGCAGCGATAAGAATGATGAGCAGTAAATATACCCAATGGAATCGCCTATAGCAGAGTAGGGCTTGCCTCAACTGCGGGAGGTGGTGGCCGAGACAGCTGCGGCGCTCAGTCTCCACCCGGACTCCGCCCTGTTGAGGCTTGTGGGGCGGTGGGCTGCG